ATGCATGGGCACTGACTAAACCTGCTGCAGACCCTCTTCAGTGTGCTAATGTTACCTTGGGACTAAGGCGCCCTTGACTCAAGCCATGGTATTCTCAATCGCCTCCTAGGCATGTGAAAGTCGGACACTGAATAAGGAAGATTGAAGAACTGATGAATTTGAATTATGGTGCTGGCAAGGTATCTTAAAAGTACCATGAACTGTCAAAAGAACAAACAAACTTGTCTTGGAAAAATGTACAGCCAGAGTGCTCCTCAGAGGCATAGATGAACTATGGACATGTAGCAGTAGAGAACAGTCCCTGGAGAATGACATCATGCTTGGTAAAAGGAGAGGGGCAGCGATAAAGACCACAAGGTGGATGGACACAGTGGCTCTAACACTGAGCTCAAATGTAAGAACAATTGTGAGGATGGTGCAGGACCCAACATGCTTCCTTCTGCTGCTACACAGTGTCACTGACCTGTAACTGACTTGACAGCACCTAACAACGATGATAACCTAATATAATAACAAAAGCCAAGAGAAAATAAATGAAGGGGTGCTTGTAAAAAAAGAAAAACGTTCGCTCATCAAAGTGGAAACAATGAAAAGCTGCAGCAATGGAAGGTGGTCGCTGGCCCCATTGTGCTGTGACCTCTGGGTTCTACCGCTGGTCACGAGGCTGCTTCCATGCACCCTGCAGCTTGTGGGCTCATTAGGCCTTGCTGTGGCACCATCAGCGCGGGCGGTACCAGAGCACCCTTGTCTTCCAATGGAAGATCTCCTTTGGATGTGCTGGGCGGCGTCATCCAGCGCAGCAAGTCTCAGATGAGTTCTCCCAGGAGGTGACAGCCAGCCTGCCTCTCTGCAGTCAGCCAGGGTGGGGCCTGGTACAGCACCCTCCGAGGTCCCGCTTCAGTAGAAATTGATGAAGATGCTAACCAGATGGCTCAAGTTCCTGCCGGCTCGCCATGACGGTTTTAGAGTTCATGACACAGAACCAAGATGCCTTTGATGTTATCACCACCGGCTCCTCAGACCCCCTGGGCCTTGGTGACAGTCCCTTCAACCAATCCTTTTGCCAGCTCATGAAGACGGTCCGCAAGAATGGCATTCTCTGCTGCCAGGGCTAGTGCTGGGAGCTGCACTGGACCACATCAAGGAGAAAGGCAGTTCTACAAGTCGCCCTTCCCCGGAAAAGCCAATGGTGCCACCCCGTTTACACCAGCAGCCAGAGGGGCTTCTTGCTGTGTTGCAAGAAACTGGGCACCATCTTCCACAGCCAGGGCATCCACAGACCCCGTTGCGGAGGGGGGGGGGGGGCGCAGGCAACTGGAATACTGCATGTCAGACCAGCCTCTGTGCTGCCAAGTGTCCTTCCAGGGCCCTAAAAGATGTGGCAGAGGGCTGCGGCCACCACCCAGAACCCTGGACCAGGGCGCCCCGGGCTCTTCCAGCCACACACAAGACCCATGGCAGGCTCACACCCATAACCAAGTGTTACTAGCCCCAGAATGCTATAAAAAAGTTTTTAAAAGTCTGGCCTGTGGGCTCAATCAGAAGAGTGTAAGTGCTTCTGATTTGGTCTTCACACATCAGAAATTCCCCAAGAGAAACCCAAAATCCTGGATCTTGAAAAAATGGACGATCTAGCCTCATGGTACTTGGCTGTCCACAGAGCAACAACCGGCGGGGTGGAACGGAGTGATGACCCTACCCGTGGAGACGGAGGCCCTGCTCCTCAGCTCCCAGCCACCGTTATTTCCAACAGAACTTCTCCTACGCAAGGGGTGTCACAGGCGGATCCTGGAAACATTGTGCTTGAAACACCTGATTTAAAGCACACATTTAGTTTTGCACACTCAAAAATGGTCATTGCAAAAATAAAACAAAATAAAATGGTTACTGTAGATATTGCGTGGGCCCATTGGCTTTCACTTCTGCCTGGCACTCCATAGCAGTTTACACAGTCATTTTCCTAATGAAAATAATAATCGAAGATATATATCAATTATGTATCTGTATGGATAATTATATATATATATAACTGCTCAAACAGTATCTTCTCTAACTAGCTGAGACTAGGTGCCTTTGGTTATTCTTAGATACACAAGACATGGTGCATTTTTGGTCCATGTTGTAAAAGCCAGCTGGTTTATTTATGTATTTTTACCATCAAATTTAAACAACCATTTATTTACTATCAAATGCTAGATCAGCTATTCGAAAATAAAACAGCCACTGCTTGTTCCTACCAAAAAATAATACATAAACAAAAGAAGGACATACTGAAAAGTCACCCTAACAGCTAACACTCATTGAACACTTACTTAGAGCTCCCAGCATTCTCCTTACAAAAGCCCCACGAAGATGCCAGAATTAAAACCAAATTATTAGTTGTGCTTGTTTCCACCTCATTGTTCACACATGTGTAAGAGGATACATGTCATTTCCATGACACAGAAAAACTAAAGCCCGTGGTTGCAACGTGGCCATCCCGTGTCTTCCAAAGTTGGGCTCATCCTCCATCACAGTATCTGGCCATGTTCTCTTGTGGTCCACAGGACCCCATTGGACAGGGGTCGGCAAACTTGTGAGATGGAAGAGAGCCATAATAAGTATATTTTATAAACAAACGAAATCACCATGATCTGACTAATAGCCTTTAACATTTTTTTCAATTTTACTTCAGAGCCATGTGAATGTACCCAAAATTACCAAACAGAGCTCTTGAGCCTCAGGTGGCCGACTCCTGATCTAGTTTGCCGTGGGTCTACCCTGCGTGACCCTGTGCTGGTGTCTGAAACCCCATGACAGGTGCCAGCATCACAGCGCCTAAATTCATTTTAGTTCAAGCAATGAGCAAAACAACATGCTGCCACACGGTCTCGCCCTCCCACTGTACAAGAATAAAGCCATATAGAAATCACAGAATTGGAACATTTTATGGCAAGATGGAGTTTTAGTGACCCGATCCGAGTCCGACAGATGAGAAAGCAGGCCTATAGCTCCTTTTTTGCCTAGGTCACTCATTGAACACTTACGTCTGAACTACTCTGCACTCTCGGATCCCAGCAGGGTCCCACTTACCAAGCCCCACATGCAGGCTCCAGGGCTGTTTCAGGAGAGTGACTACGGGATCAGGTTGGCAGCGGAGGGCGTGGTGTTCACACCATCTGCTTCCAAGTTGGATGCTTCTCCATTTCAAGACAGTTTTATGTAAGAGGGAGCAGACTTTCTCTGACCCAATTTCTAATCCTTAGGCCAGTCTTTCAGTCCCAAATGGATATGATGTCTACATGCAGTCACACTGACAGGCCCCCGTCACTTACTTATTTGATATAAAGCAAAGGCAGTCATCATGTCAGCCTTGAAACTAATTTCTCATTTCTTGTAATTAACTTTTATAAATGGCTTACTTGTACAAAGACACATTTAAAATCAATGCTGGCATGGTATATTCACACCACATCAGAAATAAAATCTTGATTTTAAAGCAAAAAAAAAAAGAGAGAGAAAGAAAAAGGCCTAATTACTGAATTATGAACATTGCCAATTTGAAACAGAAAGCAAACTTTCATTGAAATGCTATCGTTCCTCCTGCTTCTCCTTCCCCCAGTGGCTTTAACTGATGATGTCACCAATCCCCAGTGCTGGGGACAGCATTCTATTCCTTTAACACAAAATTGTAACATAAGCGATCACAAATAAATCCCAGGTCAACAAAGCCTATTAGTAGTAAAACGTCTCTTTAAATTACCTAAAATATAAATCAATCATTTACTTAAAATACCCCTTTAGTACGTGAAAAAGCAGCTTTTGCCCTTTTTGGGTTGGTTTTATTGAGATGTTCTTATTTGACCATTTCATAGGATTCTAAGCTTATTTTGAAACCAAACATCACATACAATGTTCACCCACCACAATTTCATAAGTTTCATATTTTGAACAAAAAGGTTGCAAATTCCATTAAATGAAGTCCACCACTGAATGCCCTGGCACGCTGTTTCTCAGTTTCTATAAATTACCTTTGGTACCGAAGAGCTGTTTCATTAAAAACCATCAAAGATAAAATGGTCAGGGATTTCTATTCACTGATGTTTTCTTTTTTAAAAGAAATGCAATTACTATAGATATAAACCTTTATTTAAATTCAAAATTCTATAACCCTCAAATTAGCAGAACATCTTATGATCTTCTCCAATCACCCCAACCATCTTTATGGTGCTGATGGCATTAGCTATCAATCGCTTCAACAAGGAGCCGGAGTCCCCCTCTGATTCGGTGCTTTAAGATGCACACTGTCCAACAGTTCAGTTCTGAGAACTCTATGCTCCACTACCCATCAAATTTCAGGTTCACTCCTTAGGGCTCGACAAAGCTTTAGGATTCTCCCTTTTTTTTTCATTTCAATCTGCTTTACGGTCTTATGAAACCAACTTGCTCACTTGATCCCATGTCCCATCCCGTTCAGGAAACACTTCCGAAAACCTTGACCAACGTATCACATTGATGCTTGAGCATTTCTGGAACTGGAAACCCATTCCACTCTCAGACAACATCCCAACCCAAGTGGCCGAGGTTTTGAGGCAGACATCAATCTCTCTACAGATACAATTTCCAACTTTTGTTACTCCCAGAACTGCTCACTGAAACAATACCCACAATTGGTTTCTCCCCCTATTTCGGTCAATACTAAATATTTTTATGGACTCCTAGAATTCCAAGGCCACCAGTAAATTTAGTCTTTCACCTCCCTGTATTAGCCCAGAGGGTGAAGTAACTTGTCCAGGCCATACAACTAATCCGAAGAACTGGGCTCAAGCCCACCCCTTATTGGCTGACCAATGTGATGCCTATTTCCTTTTCCATTTATAGCCTCAAAATATTAGCACCCCTACTTTTTCCAGCCCTTCAATCACTTCCCCTCAGAGCTTATGAGCCAAATGATTTTAACTTTGCCTGGCAATATTTGTGGAAACGACCGCAATTTTGTTAACACTGTCATATGGAAACGCTTGTTTATCAACATTTTATATGCTTTATTGAAAGTTGACAAGTGCAACAGTTAAATACAGTGACACCTTACAAGTGTTTGGAGAACATGCACAGAAGCATATGCATATAACTACTATACAGGTAATATGCAAGAAACCCCTACTGGGAATTTATTTCTTTAGCTACAACAGATCAGTTTTTCAAAGTATTCAACCAGCTCAATCAAAAGACGTCAGTGAACAGGGATTTACTTCAGCAGCTAGATTTCAGGTTACACAAAGAGACTAACTGTGCCAAATCTTTCCGTTTTTCTAGGTGTGTTTTTCCTCCATGGAGCATTTTATATGTAGATCTAGATAGAAAAGACAATCCACACCTCTTCAGACAGCCAATGAAACAATGACATTTCTACCTGTACAATCTAAATAGTAGTTACAGTCCTCTATTGTACAAAAGTTATACTACATACACAAATATACAATAAGCAAAACAACCTTCATGGTAGATAGCCTCGGGCCCAGCTACCTGTCACCGTTTCAGCACAGTTTTGCGTTGTTCAGTGTTTCAGAAAGAGGCACAGCACGAAACTCGGTGGTGGATTTTGATGACAGCCTGTCAGTTTAGACATGAACTATGCTTACTCTCAGCAGAGGTGAGACTTGTGAGTCTTCAGCGCCCCCTTTCCAGTTCCTCATCGGGGACTTCGCGGGGAGGGCAGTCCACCAAGGAACGCCCCTGCTTCATAACCCATGGATCAAACTACTTGCAAGCAGGATCGAACTCTTGAAGTCAGGGTGGGGAGCGGGGGCAGGGATGGAAAGGCACACTGCTCCTCAGCATGAATCCAACCATTTCACAGGTATTTGCCAAGCTGCACAAGGTCCCAGTATATCCGTGCGAATGAATTCTCTAATGAACCTTTAAGTCACTCAACTAAGAACTTGCTTCAAACCTTAAGTATATGAGTGTTTAATACTGGGGGTGGGGGTGAGTCAAAAAAAAAAAAGAGAGAGAGAGTACAACATCTGTTCGTCTCACGTCTCTTTTGCAGCGGGCGATGAAATGGGTGACTGTGGAAGCGGATTCCCGCTAGGACATCTTCTCCCGTCGGGTCGGGTCGGGTCTGTTCAGTTCAGATGGCGCACCCGCCAGTTCTGCGAGGGCACAGGCGGCTACGCGGTGGGGCCGGAGCCCTGGGACGCGGGCTGGGCAGGGGGCTGTGTGCTCCCCTGTGGCTGCGAGGTGGCAGGGGGCGAGCCAGTCTGCAGCTGGGCCTGAAACTGGGCGAGCTGCTCAGGACTGGCTAGCGTCTTCAGCAGATTATTCTCCTGCTCCAGCTGGGAATTTTTCTCTATGAGTTCCTTGATTTGCTCCTTGAGGACCTCCACTTCCTCTCTAACCGCATACATCAAATGGCTTTTTACCAGATCCTGGGGGGGGGGGGGGGGAGAAGGTGTCAGGAGACACAAGAAAAAGGCTTTACTGACTGATGATTTACTAGTTTTCCTTACTCTCGATTTCGAAAGCATTATTTTGCATGCTGCATCTGCTGCTCTCAAAGTTCACTCAGCCACCCTTGGGTGCATCTACTGAACCCGACTGCCCAACATGGATAAAAGTAAGTGATCGAGTTTCCCTAGTCTAAGTGCTCACTGCGTACACCACGCAGGAATGCACACCCGTTGGCCTTCCAGCTCCAGGTGGCCTAAGGTATGGGGGCTCGGCGCCCGCGGGAGCCCAGGGCCAGGGCAGGAGGGGCTCCCCCCCGCCAGGCCTAGCGCGGCCGCCACGGCCCCGCCCCACGTCGCTGGCTCCCGCCCGCCCGGAGCCGCCTCCCTCGGCACCAGCTGCAGCCAGTTCCTAAGGAGCAAGTTGCCGCATTTTCCTCCCTCCACCCCCACAGCCCGTTCGTGATTAAGCTGACATCACAGAAACCTGGGCAGAGCGCGCAGCCAATGGGAGCCGGAGCTATTTATAGCTCCGAATTAAAGGTTCGGAGTTTGCCTAGCAACAGTGGGCAGAGAATCCCGTGAGAAGAGCCACAGGCGCTGCTCCAATAACAAAGAACAGCCAAGGCGGAAATAAAAAATAGGAGAAATCCAGGCAGAGGAGGAGAAAACAAAACTTTTCTCCGATCCTCCTTCATTATGTGGTCACCCACCGGACTGAGGAACCGTTTGTGCCCGGTCTTGAGGACCTTTCCCCTGGGATCCCAACCCCACTGAGCTAGAGCTTAGGATTCCCAGATCGGCCACATTGTCCAAAGACTTGCCCACGGCCAGAGGAGGCGGGCGGCCACGAGTCCCACTCGATTCCCTGGCCCAAGGGGCTGCCTCTGCCAAGCATCACCGTCCCCCCCCCCACCGCCCCACCACACACACACAGCTCAGTCGTTAGAGAGCACCCAGAACCCCAAGGGCCCCCCTTTCCTCCCCAAAGCAGCCTTGGGATGCGGCTCCACGCTGATAAAATGGAGACAGACAGCGCCAGCCTTTCCCAACGGCCAAGGGCCGTTCCCATCACCCTTAACTTAGGGACCGATGCACGGGTTCCAACCCAAGACGTCTCAGTCGCTTAGTGCGGGGCCCGAATTTCGGTCCAAAGGAGCTTAAATCGGTACCTACCATTGCTTGCTCGATTTTGTTGTCAATAGCTACCACACTTGCACCAGAGGAGCTGGAAAAGAGGGGAAAGATCATCGATCAATGGAATTTATCTTAAACATCCAAGATTTTTTTTAAGAGAAAAGGTGAGGGTCTCTCAATTCTGTGATGTTACTGGCATTTTTGGAACATTCTGGAATGGTATGGAAGTAATGGATCAGACCACCAGCAGCCACTCTGGCTAACAAATATCCAGACATTTTACTATTTTAGTGAGCCACAAAGGCTAAATTACATAATGTGCTAAAAGCTTGTTCTCTGCCCAGATCTGCAAAACGGCTACTCGCTATTCTGATCATTTCAACAAGCAACATCCCTGTCACCGTAGTCTCAGCAATGGACAAAGGAATTCCCCTTGGCTCTTTCACCTGCATTATTACAAATTCTCTCACTAGTCAATTTCTAGACACTATCCCAGCAGACATTTACCTATTGTCAAGTCTCACAGACGCGTTTTCAGTCCCCAGCAAGGATGACAAGAAAGAAATTGAAAAATGCCTCAGTTGGTAAACTCCTAGATCCATCGCCACTGGTCTACACCATTGGGATTTCATGCAATTGCAGCCAAAAACACCCTCGCGGGGAGCGGGGAAAAAAATGGAAGAGGGAACACCTGCAGCCCTGCTAGGGCTGGATAAAATCGTTTCTCTTTCTGCAGACCAGAAACAAGCAGAAATCAGCAGCCCTAATTTAAGTAAAACCCGGCTTCTGGGGTTTTGGCGATCGCCTGAAGATGCGAATCCCACGGTGAGAAGCCGAGCCGTTCAGCAGCACCGCTCTACGCGGCTCTAATCCAGGTCTCCCGGTCTTAGGGCAAAATATATGCAGGAAGGCGCCGTGCCGATTGGCCGGCACACTATTAGGCCCGCCCCCTCTCCCCAGCCCGCCTTCCTCCCGCTCGCCCGCCTCCCCGCCCCCATCTCCCGATCCCGCTCCTCCGGTGGGCTGGCCCAGGCCGCACTCCTAGGGGTCGGATCCTGGGCCGCCCAGGCCCTCCACGGTTCTTCCCAACGCCCGGCGACTTCTTCGCCATAAAATACCTACAGTCGCCGAAAAAATACGACCGGGGCCTCGCACGTGCTTACGTTTACGGGAGTGAGACCCCTTCTCTGGAGCTGCTCCTCTCCGCGGCTGCCGAACGGCGAGAGCTTCCTATTTGCAACCAGAACCGTCTGCGCTACTGGGCATGCCCAGTCCCACCGTTAAAGACAAGCAGGAGCTCCAGTGTCTAGATTTCAATCATCTGGTTCTTAGAGGCAGCCGTAATGGGAGGGCTTTATAGCAGGTTTTACTTAGAAGGATAACAACTGAACTGTAATACTCTCTCTTTTTTTTTAAACGCCAGTGGGTTTTAGAGGGGGGGGAAAGAATCACATTTGTATTTCGGTAAATACTAGCTTTCCATTAATTTATCAATTATTTGTAGAAACAAAATAACACGGATTCTTTGCTCCCAAACCAAACTCAAGCCCCACTGAGTTGACTCTAACTCATAATGCCCCTATATAGGGTTTCTGAGGTTGCAAACTTTTTACAAGAGCAGACAGCCTCAACTTTCACTGACAGAGCAGCTGGTGGGTTTGAACCAGTGATCTCGAAGTTAGCAGCCCAACGCTTATTGGGCGGTGCCACCACCAAGGCTCATTATTTGATAAGCGTATACAACTCGAGTCAAAAAGGGACCCTTTGGATGAAATGAAGTCCCCAAACTGTCCCCAGCTCCATAAACATTAAAATTGCACCCACCTATCAGTACCTCCCAGTAATTAAACATGACATCTTTCACCCATAAACAGAAAAGCCAAATCCACAAGCTGAACCCTCCATAGATCTATTTTCAGTAAGTCAAGCTTTTGTAAGTGGCAATTCCATTCATCAATCCTATGAACCTCCTCTTCTTACATCAGAGATTGAAAAAACTTTACGTATAGGCAATTGTGTATTCAGAGGACACAATTCCTTAAAGTGACCTTTTGCCCATTCGCAGCACAAAGACCAATAAGATAAGGGGGTTCATTTGTGTTTAGTCAAGAGATCCAACTGCCTTTATCTTACCCTCAAGCATTCCCTTTTCCCAAACTAAATCAAGGTAACTGAGGGAATGTTAAATAATACCGCCTCCTCACCTTTAAAATATTTGCAAGGATTCTTTAGGGTTATACTTTAATATACGATAAATGTAAGGACTAAAGTTTTCTAGATTATAAGGGATAATAAACCCTTTACAATGCAATAAAGGTAAGCAAGGCAAGGACTTCAGAGCACATAACCAGCAGGCATATTTAACCTCTACAATACCGCCCTCTACTGGCGTCATATTATAAAAAACAAAAATCTAGCTTTTCTAAATTTGTCCCTGTATATGCCATCAGTTTAAAATTTGATCACAGAATATACAGTATTACATGGAATTCTCCTTCTATCTCTGCCAGCACCCTTTCCTAAAACTTCCATTGGAGTCTTTTTCACACATTCTTTTTCAGTGAACTCAAAGCTAGCAGGGATACATCTGGTTTCAGAAACTGTCCAGGAAGCACAGCTGGTGAATGTGATAAATGACACAGATGGTAATTCTCTGTTGGGTCAAAAACCAAAATATGACCAAGAAGTAATAATATTCTTTTTTACTGTAACTCAACTCGGTACCATTAAGCTGATTTCAATTCAGTGACCCTGTACTATATGTTGTTATAGGCTCATACTACTGCCCCCAAATGTAAGGCTTTATTTTTGCATAATCTATGGTGCGTAGGTTAAGGGTTGGGCTGCTCCCCCAGCCTCCCTGACAGAGAACGAGGAGGCTGTCTTCTTCTGTGAAGATTCGCAGTCTGAGAAACCCTAAGGAGCACTCCTTTCTTGGCTCTCTCTTCTCTGTCCCAGTTGTTCTTTCATCTCTCGCAAGGGTGTGACTCAGCCCTGCCACCCCACACTGACCATGCTGGCATTAACATCGTACTGTTACTAGTCCCATCCAGTGGCCCCGCCTGCTGACAAATGTTGCTGTGTCTGAGCCCATTGCTGTGGCCACTGGGTTCGTCACCTGGGTTCATCCACCTGGTAGACAGTCTTCCTCTTTTAGAGAAAGCATAAAAATAGCTTAAAAACAAATTCTAGGGGTTGAATAAAAAAGGAATTCTAAACAAATAGCTGGAGTTTTTAAGAAGATTACTGAATTAACTGAGTTCTACTTATTCATGCTGTTCTTCAGTACAGACTTTTGGGTCAAAAACCAAATTTGACCAAGAAAGTAGTAAGATTCTTTTTTACTGTTTCGATTTCAAACATGTCAACTGTCCATCCATTGTATTAAGCCACAGAAGCAAACATAAGCAACCAGAGCCTATTTTAATGCATTTCCCAACCAAAGGGCACGCTAGCCACCTTCAATACTTTGCTATTTTAAATGAAATTTCAAGAAGCATTCTTGCACATATTTACCATGACACTGTGCCTTTGTTTCTGTAGAATTTGCTGGAGCAGAGGATATTCAATAACAACAAAAGTGACACACAGTCTTTTGATCCAAATGTGCTCAAATTCACTACCATTAAATCAGTTCTGACTCTGAGCGACCCCGCAGGACAGGGCAGAACTGCCTCTGTGGCAGGTTTCTGAGACTGTAATAACTTTACACCGGAATAGAAAGCCTCTTCTTCCTTCTGTAGAGTGGCTGGTGGTTTCAAACTGCTGACCTTGCGCTTATGAGCTGCCTAACACATAATCTACTCTGCCACTTAAATTCCTTAAAACTGGGATTTTTATCTCAAAAGTAAAAAGACAAAGTTTGGAGAGAAAAAAAGTCAAAAGTGATGGGGAGCAAGAACCACAGAGGCAGAATGTGTGAGGCTGAAGGACTAGATTTACTTTCAAAGATTCTTCTATGCACAAGACAAAACATCTATGTGTCTGTCACAGAAGCCACACTGAAAGGAGGGACACTGCTACAGTGCCTCCAGCTGGGAGGATGCATGCCTAGAGAAAACGCCACCAGCCACCTTAGCGGCCCCAGCTGCTGAGCAGGAGTCTCACTGAGGTGGGAATCCGAGGTACAGGAAACAGCAGGGGCAGTCTTCATTTGAGTGAAGACACCTCTGTAACCAGAGCTTTGCTGTTGTTGTTAGATGCCTCAATTCACAGAGAGAGCGAGACACACACACACACACACACACGGAAGAATTATTGCCTGGCTTCGGCCATCCCCATAGTAGCACAGACCTTTGTGATCAATAAAGTTCTCATTAATTCCAGAAATATTTAAAAGTGTAATTAGAACACCTTTTTTCTAGCCTAAGAATAAAGCCTTTTTTTTTTTTTTTTTAATGAAGCCTTTGTGTGTGGCTTCCCAGTCAGTCTCCACTGTATGTCCCCACAAGCATAATAGGGCTAGCATGGGCCTATGGTCCAAATTCAGCAGCACCTATGCTGGCCTGACCCATAAGGGCAGAGTTGGAACCTACCGCTTGTATAAGATGATGGGCTCCTGCCCTGGTCCAAACTTGCTGCAAGTGAGCCCTGGAAGCGCAGTGGGCCAAGAAGTGCAGTGGGGCTGCTAGCTACAACAGCAGCAGTGTGAACCCCCAGTCCACTCTGTGGGAGACAAATGAGGCTGTCTGCTCCGGTAAAGACTTACAGTCTCGGAAACCCTCTATAGCAGGTGTCCTCAAACTGCGGCCCGTGGGCCACATGCGGCCTGCTGAGGACATTTATCCGGCCTGCCGGGTGTTTTTGCCCCATTTGTTTTTTTACTTCAAAATAAAATATGTGCAGTGTATATAGGAATTTGTTCAGTTTTTTTTAAAACTATAGTCCGGCCCGGCCCTCCAACGGGTCTGAGGAGCAGTGAACTGGCCCCGTTTAAAAAGTTTGAGGACCCCTGGCAGAGTCTATAGGGCCACTGAGTTGGAACTGACTCAATGGCAATGGGTTTGGTTTTGCCAAGGAAGAGATGAGCCCCCTGAGGTCACTTCCACTTCTGTAGCTTATTCTCACAAGGCACTGACTGTAGGCTGGCCA